TTGAGGCCCCCGTGCTGCCTGCCACCTTGGTCTGATGGAGACACCTGAAGCGTAGGCGGTGAGATGAATGGCCGAACGCTTCCTTCTCTACAGCCTGAAACGAAAGGGAGAGCGCAAACTGAGGGGGGGCGGCGGGGGCGAAGTGAGACAGACCTCAGCAGCACGGGAGGATGATAGATGACACGACCCAACAATGTCAAGTCATACCAAGTCAGTGCCCATATTTGTTCATGATTGACCATCCTACTGTATGCTGCCTTAAAAAAGCTAATCTGTGTAAATGCAGTGAATATGCTTCGAACCAAGGGGTCATTTTTATTCACCTTTTTTCTTTTAAATTGCAATTTTGACCATGAATTGAGCTAAAAGGAAATTCATGTTACGAAAAGGTTCTCTCCTTTTATGTACGGACACAAATCAAATTAACTGTTTGATACTAGTTTTTTTTAATTGGACTATTGAGACAATATCTACAGTTTTATTTGTTAAGAAGTTGAGGTATATTCTCAGTTGACATTGGATTAATGTTACTGGAGGGAGTAGGTTTTGCATATTTTAGAAGTAAATATATGATGCATTTTTGTTTCTGTTCACTGACTGATTTATGACACTGGTGCGAAGTGTGCAATTCTGTTCATGCAGAATGCATCAATCAAGTGCTAGTGGTTTGAAAACAAAGTAGTAAATAGTTTGCCACTCGCAACACAAAAGCATCCACTTACATGCCTGATAATCCAAACATACTGTATATTTAGATAGAAATCAGTTAGTTCATGAATTAATAATGACTTACTCCCATCATGTTTTGCATATACTGGGAGAGCCCAGTAAAGCCTAAAGGGGTTCTACAGTTTATTAATCATGAAGGCATCATTTAGTGGGGTGGAGATAAAGTAAGTATACCATGATGCAAACCACAGCAGCGATGGACTTAAACGGGCCCTATTATGCTAATTTCCAGGTTCATATTTGTATTTTGTGCCTCTACTGTGAACTGTTTACATGCTTTAATGTTTCAAAAGTGCTTTATTTTTGCTGCTGCACCCCTTGCCACAAGTCTGCTCTGATTGGTTATCTGGCTCGCTCTGTTGTGATTGGTTAACCGCTTAGAGATGTCCCACCTCTGTGTCCTGTGTTGGAGCGCTAGCCAATAGAACCACAAGTGTTATATAGTGATGTCACTATGTTACATAAGTAAACAAAGGAGTCCAATGGAGGCGTCTCGGGTGGGGTGGGGGGAGAAAAACCTTGGGATTTTAGCCTTTGCAGACCATTTTTATGCACCATCACATTTATAAAACACACAACAGGAAAGGTAAACACCAAAATGCACATTACGGCTTCCAGGTGATAGTGCTTGCCATTGCTAAATTGATTTTTTCCAAATACCAAATCATAAAAAATTGCACTTGTCGATTGCAGTATTGAAAAATTTGATTTTGAAAAAGGGAAGTGGAATAAGTAACAGGGTATAAAATGTCAGAGGGAAGTAGTTTCTGCTGCTCACTGACCATTTAGAGGGATTAAAAGAACAAACCTAGCAAGTCTTCCTGAGGGGCAAAAGGTGAGCCCACCAACCGGATGAAAACAAATGGACAGCCAGTTGATGGGAAGAGTGGAGGCAGCGGAGGTGGAACTGGTTAAATCAATCTTTCATTTCGTTTCCACCAATATGCTGTGCGGTGATTGGGGTCAGAGTGACAGGCAGGAATGACCCCATCCTCCCCCATCCGTCTTAACACACACACACACATTCCCACACACCCATCTTTACTGTCAGACAGCCTTTGTCTTTCGTGTTCAGGTTCCCTGGGAAAATGCCTGTGGTTAAGGCTTACACACAGGAAGAACACAAGCCCTCATTTACCGACCGGCTCGCAATCTGTACAGGAGCAGTGGGAGGTTACCAAGGTGATTCTTCAACTTCAACTCTCCCCAGATGGCCCGTGTGGCGTTGTCATTTGTCGCCAAAAACCTGCATATGTCGCATTCAACTCAGGGTGTTACCGAGAGTGTAAATCAAAGTGAGCCGCTTGACTTTGTGAAATGGTTGCTGCGTTTTCTGAGCCACCTACTTAGGAGATATATGGGATCCAAGATCTAGCTATCTAGGTGGGGGGAATTCGGGATATAAATCCAAACCTTACTGACATTCCTGTCCTTTAGTTGAGGAGGAGACGGGAGAAATAGTCTTGAGTTATACAATCAGACTGAATGAGTGCTTCCTGGACGCCTAGCAAGGGGAATGGGACATCTATAATTCAGCAAAAGGATGGAGAAAATCTGTGACAAAAATTACAGCAGATAGACCATGAATAATTAAAGACAAGGAATAGAAACATTTAAAGACCTTGAGAAGCACTTCAGTTCAAATTTTTAAACAGCAGAAAAAAAGAACTTGCCAAGCCTGACTAAACTACAGCTATTCATCACTCTCTTGAGGCTTAAGAGCTGAGGTTACAAACAACCTCGATGATAATTGTTTGTGAGGATCTGAAGATGCAGCTCTAGAGTAGGAAGAGAATACGTTTACGAGCATGTCACCAGAGTATCGTTTGAGCACATCTGTTCTCAAAGTCTCAATTCCGTCGTGTTTTGAGAACGGATAGATGGAGGGATAGAGAAGAGTGAAATAATAATAATGAAACGGCTATAAATGCAGAGTCTCTCTCACTCTATGTCTCTCTCTTTCCTGACAGAAGTTTGAAGATGTGTCCTTGAGAAAAATGCAATCTACCTTTTGCAGAGCCAATATCATAGAACACAATTCACCATTATACTTCCAGCTGGCTATGATAAAAAAAAGACTTATTGTGGTCCTCCTATAACCTTCCTGCAGACCAAAAACTCAATCTACCCTGTTTTTCTCCCACTGACAAAGGAACACAAATTCAATGGGCCTCAAACCAAGGCTTTTCATTCGCCTTGCCTCAGACGGTATATAAACCCCTAGCCTATAGGTCACATGACTGCCAGCTATTGTAGGTGACAAACCAGACCACTGTTATCTGAGATGGTGAGGTGGCTTTCTTTTCAAGCCTCGAGGCAACAATAGCATTAATTAGACACATCAAACCTAGCAAACAGTGTCCTTTCAGACCCACAGAGACAGATCTGCTCAATCTCAGCTGTAGCAAAAGAAAGGGGGCATCATAAAGGGATAGAGCTTGGCTAGCTGCCCTGTAGACATGCATCAAGCTATAGAGGGGGTCAAAAAGCAGTTATAGCTGACAGATCATCAATCTACCTGTTAATCAAATGGTAAAGCTTGGTTGGACAACATCGGTAAAGGTAAAATGTACTGGCTCTATGGTGTGACTCAAAGTAAGGTAAGATGTTACCTGGTTGGCAGGTTATTAATAACATGCCAAACATTTCTAGCAACAGTATTTATTGTCAACCTGTACTGTACTTCAGTCCTTGGACTTTCATTCCACTTATTTTATTCTTTAACTCTGCAGTTGTAGTATACTATAAAAGCAAGGATATTAACAATCTAACCTAACCGTGGTTATAGTAAGGCATTAAATCTAGTTTTAAACTAGATTTAATGCCTTACTATAACCACGGTTAGGTTAGATTGTTAATATCCTTGCTTTTATAGTATACTACAACTGCAGAGTTAAAGAATAAAATANGGGGAAGCTCAACCCTCACATTCTCTGTGTGGCCTTTTAAGGTGCGAGGAATAAAAGAGTATTTGTATTAATCTATCACACGCCGAGCCTGGTTGAAGCCTGGCCCTAATGGTTGCTTGCTGTCATTTTGCAAGCAGCTGTAAAAAGGATTAGTGGCTCTGTGGAGTAAGGGCGCATGAACAGCAAAGTTCTGTGGCCGGCAATGAAAATAAATCAATTTATCCCTGATGGTGGTGCAGTTTTGGAACATAATCCCTAACGATGACAGAGTTTAGACACTTCATACTTGTCATTGTGAAATTGGACTGCCGTGTTGCTAATGATGGTAATGTATGTTGTGCCTCGCCTACTAAAGTAATCCTTCACTCTGTCTCACTTAAATGCATCTCATTGTCTGGCATATTGTATTATGAATACCGTTGGATACAAAAAAAAAGGGTAAAATTGAATTTATATATTCATTCAGTTGAACAGCAAGTTAATGGAAAAACTGTATAACCATATACAATTCTTCCCTTTTGTCTCAGGTGATTGTAACTTTGAGAAGCCGCTAGCAGCATGTGGGTACAGCCAAGGCAGAGACGATGACCTCGACTGGGAGCAGGCCAATACCAGAGAGAAGCCTTCATCAGATCCATGGCTGCCCTCAGGTAAGGACCATGACACTGGCTGTGTATAGTAGAGCTAATATTTCCATCCTCGTATAGAGAATACATCCTGCAATAGTCTGCACATATGACATTGATTCTTTTGTGTAAGAATCAGCATTCTGCACAGAATATTTTCAAATAAATAAATATTGTCTCACACCAGTAGGATACTGGGTCCTTGCACTGGCTACCTGTAATGTTTACAATTGATTTTAAATGTGTTTTTGCTTGTTTTGAGGTCATTAATGGTTTAGTAACTTCATTCCTTAGCTACAGCTTATTTGATCATGTTTGAAACTGCTCCTTTAGTTGCTGGCTTGCTCAATTAACCAACAATGTATTGCAAAATGAATGGTGAAGCAGCTTTTTGGTGTTTTCTTAATACATATTTATATATTTAATATATATTCTTTTAAAGTATATGATTTTCATGCAAACAAAAGAGAAATAAGACAAACATTATATCGATATAAGAGTTAAAAACACGCTTTTATGATATTGTTTTTAATTAATTCCATCTATTTCTGGTCTCATAATTATTTTCCCTTTCTAATACTTGTTTGAAAGTTTTCATGTCTGTTTTTAATACCTTTGTTTTTAATAACTATTTTTCTCTTGTTAAGCACTTTGAGGTGCTTTCAATGTTATGAAAGTTGCTATATAAATGTGCATTATTACATTTTGTATAATAGGAATCAAATCAGTTGTTAAAGGTATCCATGCCAATGAGGAACTACATATCAGACATACATTTTGACTGATCATACAAAGCTAAGCTACTCGTCATTGTTACACGGCATCCGCCAAGACATTCACTATGATAAAGACCTCTGAAATAAAGTAAATATTCCTTGGCTCAAGTAGGCGAGCTACACGCACAATTTCTATCAATATTCCCAACAGGAAACTAATTTGACAAAGCATTTGCATAACACTTATCTTTTACATATAGTTTTCACTGAATGAAATGCATCACTGAATGGCCAGTTCGATCTAATGATGTGACGTTTACACGAGACATTTTTCTAATTAGGCTAGGCTAAGGGCTCCATATAAATGAAATATACTATAAGGCTGCATCCAAACAATTTAGTGTCAAAGACTAATAAATATTGATTGTAGCTTTTACGGACATCTACTACTATTACTAATACTTCTACATTATACTCTAGAATTTCTACATTATTTCCTTCTTTTGTATTAACATTCAAGCAACTTCTTTCTACCTGAGTAAAAACCACAGGATCTATTGCACAGTCACATAACCAGAGACAAAGCGTCATTTGATTTCAAAATACAAAGATCCATTTTAATTAAAGAAGTCCTTTTTGTCGTTCACATATTGAAATTCATTAAAATGCTTTCCCTGCATTTTGTGTCTGTCGCACACAATTTGTCTCTTTAATGTTCCATTGATCGCCTTTCATCTGATTTGAAATGCAGGGATATCAGCAAGTGTCTAAGGAATTAGACTAATGGAATGACGTTCTTGTTGTGTTATAACAAAGGTAGCGTTGCAAACTAATGGATATTGTTTTCCTCCTCTATCTGACGCCTAATCTCACAAAGGCTGCATCACAGATAGATTGCACCGAGCGCCCCCAGTGACAGAGGGGGAATTAATTAGCAGGCCCGCACTAATTTTAAGCAGCCAGTGCCCAGACCTGTTTGTGTGTACATCGGAATGATGCGTGTTGAACCGCCCCAGAGAAATTACTTTCCATGGAGGGGGAAGTGTCTGCTCTTTTCTATCGCAATTGATTAATGTCCGGACACATAGGCTCGGCAAAGGTTACAGCAAATTCGGGGAAAGCCTTGACCTACAAATTAACACCTCGTGCGACGGTCTAAATTTAACATATCTGATTAAAATCCCGTGTCTGGTTAAGAGGTGTCCCTGATTGGGCTTCCTCGTCTGAGTGCTCTTCAGATAGGCTTGTTTTCCTGTGCGACTTGAATTGTGCGTAATTAACAGGTTGCAGCTCTTTCTCCATTTCTCAGTGTGAGCACTCAACCTGCCGTGTAAAATTGTAATCTCTCCTCTTTGACCGCAGTGAAAGGGATGTGAAATGTAGTGTGCTTGACGGTTGAAATTGTTTTAGGGCGACTGGAGAGAGGGTTGATGGGTGAAAATGCATTTAGGTGAAAGCCACACTGGTGGAAAAGCTATCTCACCTCTGATTGCTGTCTCACTCTCAACCTGTACTTATGAATCTTGACAAAACGACCTTATCATACTCACAGAACAGATTGTTCTGAACAGAAGGCATTGCTACCTCAAACACTTCTGAAATTGGTTGTAGGCAGTTTCTGGTTGTTCTTAATGTCAATGTAAATGTGTTAAATTATGATTAAAACCTGGCTGAGTTTCCATGGCAAATCCAATCCTTCCAGAGGTTAAACAGTTAGATACCAGTATCCCTGACATCACCTCCTATTAATAATACTTTTTTGCGGGGGCGCCTTTCATAGCGACCAAGGACACTTTACAGGGCATAGGGGCAATATAGGGAACAATTAAAACAGTGGATTTAGTGAAATATCAGCCGGGGTAAAACAAGACAAACAGGAAATGGACTACAGAAGGACACAAAAGGACACAGGGTACAGTTTATAAAGAAAATGCCAGTTTGAACAGGTGGGTTTTGAGTTGGGTTTTGAACGTTGTTATGGAATCAGACTGTCGGATATGTAGTGGCAGGGAGTTCCAGAGTCTGAGAGCCGAGCAGCTGAAAGCTCGAGCACCCATGGTTTTGAGGCGAGAGCTTGGGACGGTGAGAAGTCCTACGGACGAAGAGCGGAGCTGGGTGTACTCCTGAAGGAGGTCGGTGATGGGGGCAAGGTTATGGAAAGCTTTATAAGTGAGTAGAAGATTTTTGTAGTCAATACGGTAGCGTACAGGAAGCCAGTGTAGCTGAGTGAGAATGGGGGTGATGTGGTCGGATGAGTTGGTGCGGGTGATGATCCGGGCAGCAGAGTTCTGTCAAGTGGAAAGAAAACATGTAGAGATCCGGTTGGTATAGCATGACGTGTGAGGAGTTGGTGTTCTGTAACAGACATACAATTCAAGTTAGACTTTTATTAATCATTACCATGAGCTTTCCCTCACCATAACAAGTGCTCTAGTTTTCCAGCCCTAACAATAACTACATGATGACCACAATCTTTCCCAACCATAACAATATTGTAGCTCGATCTCCCTCTCGAAGGAATTTAAGCCTTTGCTGACCATTTACATGCACAAAAAACTATCTAACAAGCCATAGGAAAGTAAAAAAACCCAAATGCATAAGTGGGTCCCTTTTTAAGAGCCGAGAAGAAGTTGTAAGTATAAAGAATTGGGCTTGATCCAAGTTATTTAAAAAGAAAATCTTAATAATGAAATAGTCTGATTCCCTCCTTTTTATTAGAGGTTCAAAACATTCAGACTTGAAAGCTGCTACCCTTTATCTGCTTGCTAAGTCATGTATCAGAGGCTAGTGAAATCAATAGAAAAACATCCTGAATAAAGGTGCCGTTTCATTGTGCTACGTGTACAGAACAGAGTCATGAGAGGCCTTGTGCAGAATTTGATGTCAGCCATCTGAGGATTCTCATTCATCCTGCAAGGCTAATATTGCAACCAAAGACCAAAATGGCCCAATTCCAACATGACGTGTAAATAAAAGAGTACTCAAAGGGAAGCAGCAAAATGAAACGCAACGAAGAAAAACAAGCCCTCTGGTCACACGAAGAAGAGAGAAGCGGTGCATGAAACTCTTGGTTGTTTACGACAATCCGCTCCCTACCTAATTGCTACGTCTGGACGGAGAGTAGTCTTGTTTATCCATCCGCACAGCCCTGATTGCATGCTTTGGCTCCTTTAGGGTGGCTCAGCCCTGTTCTGAGGCTCCGCTCGGGCTCTCCCCAGTGTGTTCCCTCCTCCCGAGCCAACTGGAGTAACCCCCGGCAGAGCTGTCACTGTCAGTCCCGTTGTTACCAACAAACCTCATGTGCCCTGGACAATGAAAATAAAAACATGTGAGCCAAGACAACACTCATTCAGCCTTGGAGAAAGGAGCTGGACGCACTTCTGTCAAAATGTCAGATGTTGGCTTGGAATGCAAATTATTTGAGGGGGAAATTACCAGGCGTGAATCAAAGAACTGATTTCTGGGTTTCCATCCTGCCCTCTGTTGTTATAAGTTCTCCAACATGGTGCATTATTGTAAAAGAAGAATGGGTGAAGCTGACTTTGTTGGGAAGTTTGGTGCTGCGTGGGGTGTCCGGATGCCTTTAAAGAAGGAATGTGTTTTTAGTGAGCCCCAGCTGGTGCAGAGGCTGCCTTCCCTCGGATGGAGTCACGGATGGTGCCAGCAGTAGGCTGCTGCTCCCTGACTCTCCCCTGGGACTCGTTCTGGGGAATAATGGCAGGAGGAGGGGAAAGAAGGTCTTCTAACTGAGATTAATTAGGTCTTTTTGTATTATCCTCGACACAATGGCGGAAGCAGCTCCTGCTAAATGACTTATTGTTGAACTGTTAATGTCTGCTCTAAATATGTTGTGGGAGAGAAGTAGAATGTTTTTGTTGCGTAGCGTGTTTGTTCTGACAGCACGCCCTTGGTCGATAATGACACATAGACAATAGTGAAGGATTGGCAGAATGAGGTTCTTCATAGGGTAACAGCGATCTGGTTCTTTCTTCTCGGGTTCACAATGCGTTCATGCTAATGCAGCTCACTCTTGAACCCAGAAGGGTGCCTTTCTTTAAGTGTGGCTGCTGCATATGGATAAGGGATCATTCTTAAAGTCAAACTGGTCATCTTTTTGATCATTTCAATCACGAGGTAATTAATTCTCAAAGCCCCTCAAGCTTACCTGGACAGCGAGTATTGTTTACGGCTCTGTATGTGCTGTTCAAACGAAAGAGGAGAAGGATAGACACTTAAAATATGAGAGGAAAGAACACCGACTGACTGAAGGACGTCAGAAATGTAATCAGAATTTAAATCACATCAGCA